CTCTTTCTGAGTGGCACCTAATAAAGTGATTTTGGAACAAGAGGAACAGTATTTCTACGTTACAGACTTTCGTAGGATCCCTTTATCAAGCCAAGTTACGTATAATAAGTTGAATGGTTTACATACTCCAATTTTACATATTGCTTGAATACCATTTCTAAGATTCCACCCTTCAATGTAGCATATATAAGCAGAATGATCCAATACAGTATTAGAGGTCTGAGAAGCGGTCTGGTGGATTAAATTGGCGAAACTGCTGGGAGGGTTCACCACTGATGAGCCAAGCCCTCCCAATATTTTTTTCCATCGCAGTAAAGACAGTAGAAGTTTGTTTTATGTGTGAAAAGAAATATTCGTGCCTTCATTTCTTATATATAGACGGCGTGTTATTGCTTTATAAATTACATATAGGCAGATTACCAAAAAGACATTCAACTGACAATGTCTAACTACGCGTCTATAATAGTTCCGAATTTTGATGACAGATGGCGCGCTAATGCATCATAACAAAGTGTATAACTCTGTTTGACAAAGGGAATCTCTCGAAAGTAGAAACAGCAACAAGAGTTGGGCTAGATAGTTCTGTAGAACGACATTTGATCCCGCATGTGTTTCTTTTGAACGGAAATCGAAACTTATTTTAAGGAGAAATAGCGCTTGTTTTCTAACCTTAGGGATGAGATATGAAAGGATGAATTGTGAAGAGTAATAATAAACGGAAAAATAAAGTGTCCAGGGATGGGAATCGAACCCACAGTGTTACGCTTACCGGGCAGATGGCATGTCCACTAGGCTACCCTGGACATATTTTTCCGTTCTGTTGTAATGTCAACGGCTCCTAGATACATTGGGTCAGGTTATGTCCAAAGTGAACGTTTGGCCGCCGTTCATCAAGATTTTAATATTTACAGTAACATTGTGAAGGTAGTAACTCGTTAATTGATCATTTCAGCAATTTGTGTCGACCCCAGATATGCAAATGAATAATAGACTAATTAGCATATCTCCCAGGATTCCAAACTCTGGCAATGACTGTGGCGTGTTCAATACGCGTAAATAAATTGGAGAAAGTGGCGCCAATTCTAGATGGAAATACTGTACATGTAATATAGGGAGAGTCATTTTAAATATGTCAATACAATAAACAATGTTATGAAAATTCTAAACTATTATAAACGCGTATGATTCTTTTTTAAAACAAACAATTTCTACTGTCCTTACTGCAATGGAAAAATTAATGGGTGGGTTCACCACTGATGAGCCAGGCCCTCCCATTAATTTTTACATTGCAGTAAGGACAGTAGATATTGTTTATTTTTAAAAAGAATCTTACGCGTCTATAATGGTTTCGAATTTTGATAACAGATGGCGCGCTAATGGATCATAATAATGGACAACAATCCTCTTTGTATTTTATTATCCCTAGTACACATGGTACAGGCCATGATGGTGGGGGGTAGTAAACGACCGCTTTTACTGTAAGTGCACCACATGTCTACATAGGTTAAAAGCGCAGTTCAACTTTTGCACTTACAATTGTGCCAGAGCCCCGTTTGGTTACTTGCACTCTTTGGTGGAGTTGGATTTTTGCAAGAATTGGAGGCCATTGGAGCGTTTTTTTTTTTATTTTTTTATTGGAAAAAATGCCCAAGGCTGGATTCGATCCCTTGAAAGATATTACAGTAACCTTTATTGAAGACACACGAGATAACTAAGTGTAACCAAAACGTTCTCTGTCTCCCTAAAAAAAAAAAAAAAAAAAAGACGACCGACGATATCAAAGACTTTCCACTTCCTTAAGTTTTGTACATGAGTGTATAATATAGGAGATGCGTGTATACGAGTATACTCGTATATTGTACATTTACGTCCTTTAAAAGTTCATTTCTTTCTTAAGCCTTTTAGAACTTGTTGACGCGAGGTTTCTAAACTCAGTAATTAATATAACAGACGGTACATACCGTCACTTAGAGTCAAGTAACACATGTCTGAGAATCCTTCATAGAGAGATGGGATAGCATTGTTATGTAATTAAAGTAAGTAAGAATCCGTAACTAACTTTACATATTATTTATTGATGGAAATTTTGCCGGGAGGAAATTGATCTAAAGAGACAAGGGTCGCCTCTCCCGTCAGAATAGAAGTCAAAAACTAGACGCCATCTATTGACCGTCGCTGCAACTAGCGGCCTCGGGTCGATGACAAAGCCACAACACCAACTTTGGCAAACTGAAAAGCGTCCACCTAAAGACCATGGTTTCGGGCTAATGGCCCTCGTCAGTCTAGGGCGGACTTTATTCCATGAGATCCACACGGGATCTAATGGAATCTTGACAATCTGCCAAAGAGGTGTTTTGACGGGAGAGGCGACCCTTGTCTCTTTATATTATTTATTATTAATGGAAATTATACAAAACAAATCTTGGTATACATGAAAACAACAAAAACTAATATTTATTATATACAAACAAGTTCCTTTTAAAACACAAGCTCATCTATAGCCATTGTTACCCATTGTCCCCAAAACCATCTTTCAATTTTGCCTATACAGCCTACATTTCTAAACACAATTTTTTAGATTTGCCTCGATTCAAGGTCAGATGGTTATCCTCTATTTGAATTTCTCAAGGAAAAAAAAAAGTGCTCAATGCGGGAATCGCTCCCGGAACGTAGCTATCTAAAAGCGACGTTTTATACCATCGTCTACCCGCCCTCTATTATAAAATAAATGAAGCTTCCAGGGTTAAGTATCTTATGCAACTTTTTTATTTTCAAGCTTTCGGACTTGTCAGTGTTGCATTTATTGAAAACTTTGATAGAAATTCTGTAAAAGATATAAATGTAGACTGGATCTTGGTATATGTTTCTACATGAAAACAACAAAAACATTATATACATACAAGTTCCTTTTCAAACACGAGCTCATCTATAGCCATTGTTACTCTGTGTAATATTCCAACAATAATCCTATATAGAGATACTTCCCATATAACATAGATTCTTACCTGAATCTTGACTGAATCAATCAGGAGTCTAGGGTTTGGTTTCTTTTTACAATTCTTTTATGTCTCGAGATTTCGGGCTGACATCTCCTTCAACATGGAGACCTAGAAGTATTACTTCTAGCCAATTATAACACGTCACTCAATAAGGAATCTAGGGTTTGGTTTCTTTTTACATTTCTTTTATTTCTCGAGCTTTCGGGCTAACATGTCCTTCAACACGGAGATCTAGAAGTATTACTTCTAGCCAATTATAACACGTCACTCAATAAGGAATCTAGGGTTTGGTTTCTTTTTACAATTCTTTTATTTCTCGAGCTTTCGGGCTAACATGTCCTTCAACATGGAGATCTAGAAGTATTACTTCTAGCCAATTATAACACGCCCTTATTAATATAATCAAAATACATCCTATATGCACAGTAGAACAACAATATGTAAATGGGGAGGGACGCCATGTGGGCGGGCGGTGGCAGAATCTATGTCAGACGCCGCGGTGTTCACTTACCTAAGCCTAACTCAGAGCAGACGATGCAGCTGCTTTTTTTCCCACGATCGTCTGCCCGGAGGTTGTTTTTCCTGGCGGAAGACTTCTTTAAGTCGTCTTTCCAATTGGTTGACTGGGTGTTAGCGAACACAGTGTGAAGATAGCGGGCAGCTTGGGGGCCGATGTATGCAAATTTGTCCGTAGCGGGATTTGTATCCTGCGCTGTCCGCTTGTAGAGTTGTTGGCCTCTACGCCGGTGGACAGCGTTGAAAGTAGCCAATAGTGCTGAGTTAACACCGGTGTTAGCTGGTGATGTGTGGGTTCTTTGTGCGGACTCACCAAGACCTCGTACCTACTGATGAAGGTAGATATGTAAATAGATCGACAAACTTCGCTTATAAAAGCTTTCCGCCTTTGAAAAGGGCGACATTGGGAGGCCGAAACGTCAAACCTTTTGATAATTAATTTACATATTGAATTGATGAAGGTAGTTGAGACGATTACTGAGAGAATTTTTGTGTTCCGGGGATTTTGTTGATATTGATCCGATAGATGGCGCTCATGCGAGGACTTTTTTTCCGAGCACACGAAGAATTTTTCGCCATAGCTTGTCACCGGCTCTACGAATCCTCCCAACTCTGCGGGGCCTTGCCTCCATCGATGCGGCGCAGCACCATCTGTCTGATCCGCAAGTCTCAAAGCTGTCCTGGACTCTGGCTACGGACCCATCTCGGCGGACTATCGAGTTCTAGCCAACATCCAGCGTCTGCGGCCCTCCGTCCTGATTGTCGGACATACGCCGTTCCCGGGTGGTTCCCTTCTAGAAAGCACAGCCCTGGTTGTCCAGTAGCGTCTCTCTGGGAGAATTCGAACTATTCGACATCGGCGTGATTCAAGTACGTGCACTGCGGGCAGACACAACGTCTACTCCTGGCTGGTCGAGAGCGGCTCTTCCCCCTTCTTCCAGGTCCTGGACGACGTGTCAGAGATAGGCCGTCACAGTACCTTAGACGCACCAGTTCTAACGACACAATGTGATGGAAACCTCAGCAATGACATCGATTGTGTTGTAGGTTGTCGATGGTCAGATGGCGGCGATGTAGATCTCACAGCTTGAAGCGGAATTATAGCTTGCGGAAAAGGCATTGTTCAATGTAAATATTTATATCTAATTCTCCTGTCTTAAAATGTCCATAGATTACTTATATACTATAAATGCTGTGTAGTATAAAACGATATCTATCAATCAAATAATTGCAAAAAGTTTCTTTATGCAATAAAATGCAAGCTTTCAAGTGTTAGCTCATCATCAGTGTAGTATGTATTAGCAGTATTGTCCAATACAGTATTAGATATCTAAAAAGCAGTCTGGTAGATTAAATTGGCGAAACCGCTGGGAGGTTTCACCACTATTGAGCTAAGCCCTTCCAATATTTTTCATCGCAGTAAAGACAGTAGAAGTTTTTGTTATATTTGAAACCATCGTGTTTAGCAGTTTTATTCTGTATATAAGAAATGAAGCGGCCATCTTGCTGGGTGTTTATTTCTTCCCTGTGTAGAGGCTTGTCACATAAACCTTCTGGCTCTCCTCAGCTTTCCCTGGAGACTTGCTGAATCCTTGCACCATTGTTATTGCGTTCGGTTTGCCTGGTTCACTCAATAGCTAGATGGATATAGGACGATACTCCTTTGGCCAATTATCCTTAGCAATCAAATAAACCTCCCGCGCGACATCCTCGTGACTGTACCACCAGCCAGTATCGGCCAAACTGGACGGAGCCAAAGGAGTAAAAACAATGGGAGATGTACAATTCGACATTGATGGGCCGAGGTAATGATCCATCCCGTTATTATCCTGAAGGAAGATTTAGAACTCGGGGAGGAAAAGTCGTTACGGCGTCCTTAAGCAAATGGGATGTCGGGACAAAAAGTCCCTCATTTGTCATCCCTGCCAGGTAGGACGGGACGTGAGCAATTATGAATTATTCCGACGGAATTCAATTAATTTTACTCCAGCAAACTGTCGTCTTGGTATAGTTGTCCTAGCTTGGTGGTGGGTTGGAGATTTTCTGCCTCACTCAATCCTGTCTACGCGGTGTTGTGGAACGGACTGACTTCTTGGGGAGAGTCTAAGTGTAGCTAGTTCCTTCGTTGTTGCCAGTAGTTTACCATCTAGTCGACTTTTGGTGACATACTCTATGGACAAATACACTCATGGACAAAACTTAAGGAAGTTGTACTTTTTACCATGTATATCGGGATTGAGATAATAACTTTGAATATATTACAGTGACCTTTATTGAAGACACACGGG